AAAATAACGAACATTTTGAATGGCTCGAGTGACACTTGCCTTTGATAAAAAAAAACACGTCTACTGAGGATTCATATTTATGAAAAAATCATATATCAATGAAACAGTCATCGGTCGTCATTGAAAAGCAATGCAACTATGTTCTGTCAATCTAATTGACTTTTATTGGCTCTGTTGTCTTGTGCATTTTAGCTAAACGGCCTCTTTTCTGATTTTTATTTCTCAATCTATGAAATATACACGAAAACTATGTTTGAACGAAACTTCTAGAACAATATGAGGAAAATTATGCCGTAGACTACACATTTTATATCATATGGGTGGAAAATTTGTAGAACAAATACTTGAAAATTCTTCAATTTTAAGATATCTTCGAGCATGAAACTAAGTCAAACTTCAATAAAATCACTTCGAATAGTCAACTTTTGGTTACAAAGTTGATACATGACACATTAAACTTTGCTATGAAAGTTGTTACAGCAGTTTTCGTTATTTCAGTCTCGAGATACAAATATTGTAAGCCGTAAATTACCTTAAAAACATAAAATTAACTTGAAGTACCTCTAAATCATCATCGATTTTGCTGAAAATTTACACAGAAGTACAAATTAACATGACGAACAGTAATCACGGTTGACCCGTTACATTCGGAACATTTCGTTTAAAATGAACAGGTCTAATAGACATGCACAAAAATCTTGGTTTTACCATAGTAATTCCCATACAAACTTCAAATGGTTTGTGCTGTCTCAGTTTCTCACCAAATGGGTTCAAATTTTGAGAGGTTAGTCAGGATCCGATTTGGAATCGTTTAAGTATTGTGGAGCGAAAATTTCAAATTTTGCATCACTCTAATGCGCATTTCTATAGAATAAACCTCGTGGACATCTGTCGATGTGGAAACGGTTACGATGACATCGATCACGCAGTTGGGCAATGTACTACGGATAATGACGTTGCCAAGAATCGACGTTTGATTACTCTCGAGGCCCAAGGAAGACAACAACAACTCGCGATCTCTGCTATATTCAGTCGATTTATGTGTTTCTGCAAATGTCTAGTATAATAATTTAATTCGTTTGTCTTTTGTATCTATTAGTTCCTCCCCGTCTCAATGAGTCTAATCGTCGCCCACTGGTCACCATAGCCGGTCGAACTCCAGACGAATCTAGAACAGCACTACCGTTCATACTGGTGATAACGAAACCCAACCCCAAGCTCCTCCTCTGATCCTATCCTTCGACAATGTACTCCTCTAACCTCGGGTAAGCCTCGAGTAATCGGTCCAACTCCTACTAGACAGTGAATTTTGTTACAAACAATGAACACAAACAAATAGTTATCAAACATGTACTACTAGCGGCGCCGGTGGTGTAGTGGTAAGCGTGATTACCTCTCACCCCAGCAGGCCTAGGTTCAATCCCAGTCGACGCCGCCGGGATGTTCTGAGGCATAACATCTCTGATCACGGGAATTAAACCCGTTGGTCCCCGGTTCATGAGTTGATGGGTCGATAGGTAGGGTCCAGGTGTGAGAGCTGCCTTCCTGGCGTCGGTAGCATTGGTGCTCAGCACGGAAAACAAGATCGACGAAAAACAAATCAAAGGAAAAAAAAACATGTCCTACTAACAAATCTTTTTCTAATGTATGCAATTAGTTTTAAAATATGATGTTTGGTTTATTTTTTAGAATCAAAATTAGATTAAAAGTTCAAACTTTCAATTCCGAGTTGAAGTTGATCATGCGGGTTTTTATACAATGCTGCTGCATTGAGAAATTTGCATTTAAAATTCAGGCATAACATTTGATAACGGCACAAAAGCATTTGTAAACAAACTATCTAAGGCCCTTTACACGCGAACCAAAGTACGCCCACGCAAACCAATACCACTTTCGGAAAGGTGATAGTTGCCCCTATCCGATGATGTTGTTGCTTTGCGTGGGCGTACTTTGGTTCGCGTGTAAAGGGCCTTAGAAGGTTTGTGTACAAATGCATTTGTGCCGTTATCAAATGTTATGCCTGAATTGATTTGTGTTCGCTGAATAAGTATCTGGTGCTAAAATTTCAACATAACTTAGGCCGTTCGCAATGCTGAGTTTCAAGATTGTTTTAAACTACTCGTGTATCTAAAAGATGTTTGTAATCATCAAGTTTCATAAACTTACTGTCCTCTATGAACTTCTCCGTTTTTTGTTTGTGAAGCTCTTCGAAACATCTTTAAACACATACAAAGAAATTTGAAACAGAGTTCCATTCGTGTTTCAAACTCGCTCAGAAATAAAACAGAATAGTCGAGCAGTTGCAAATCTGGTGCAAAATAGTGCTCGAATTATGAAACTGCAACTCAGCATTGCGAGAGGTGCGTTTCTGTTCTAGTTTCAAATTGAAACAGTCCTTATAAAATACAACAGCATTGCGAACGGCTTTATGGTTCACGAAAAACTACATATTTTGTGGCAAATAGTTTAAAATACGCCTAAATGCAGGCAATTAACATCAGTTTTGTCGGTTTGTGTGTGTATTCCCTCTAATCCCCACTGGTCGGCAGTGTTGTTGTTATTATGGAAGAGAACTCTCTCTCTCGCTCTCTCTACAATGTCGCATTTATGGTCATTGTAGACAGCTTTGGTCTGGGAGTTAGAAGGTGATAGCTCTATTGCAGATCCAGCAACGCGTTTCAGAATGTCTGGAGAGTCACGCCCATTCCGAGGTTATTTTCACTCACAATAAGCCCCGCATGTATGCATCACCGTAATCAAATGGATATTAGTTATACACTGGAGTCGCTTTTTACGCGGTTTTTTTTTACACGGTTTTTTTTACGCGGTTTTTTTTTACGTGGATTTCGGAATTTACGCGGTTTTTTTTTACGTGGATTCCGGAATTTACGCGGTTTTTTTTTACGCGGATTTTGGTTTTTTTTACGCGGATTTCAGAATTTACGCGGTATATCGCTTTTTACGCGGTATTTTCTTACACGGTCTTTTTTTACTCGGTTTTTTACGCGGATTTCGGAATTTACGCGGTTTTTTTTTACGCGGATTCCGGAATTTACGCGGTTTTTTTTACGCGGGACGTATCACCCGCGTAAAAAGCGACTCCAGTGTATACACACTTCCTGTTTGGAATTTTTTGTTCAAACCTGGCATGTAGGAGAAATGCTGGTAATATCGGCCTAAGTGTCCCTAATTTGGGCCCATACATAAATTCAGCAATCGTCTAAATTTTCAATAGCAACCAAAAATAGCCATTAGTAACGTCCTAATAACGCGTTCATCTAGATAAAATTGATAAATAGCAGATTTTTAGCGATGGGCCCAATCTTAGATCGATAGGCCAACATTAGATACATTTCCCCTATTTTGCTATGTTATTCAGTTCCACCCTGGATCGGGTATCAAGATTGGGTCTGCTTGTTTTCTGACAAACGTCAGTTTGCTCGTTTGTTTTTAAAACCTAGCTCAGGTTGAGGTTTGCACTGACAAAAAGTTCGGCTTCGCACCCCAATAATAAACGAATTCGCTATTAGTTTCATTTTGATATTTAATTTTTTTAAAATAAATGGAAAGCTCTCACCATATTCTGCTCTTCTACCGTCGTTAATTGCTTATTTTGGAATCCCTTGGACTTTTTCTCTAACGCTTCGTATTTAATTCCGTGCTTCACCGGTCATTTCCTTCCGTAGATCGTCCTTGGTTGGTTGGTTCTAATATGTTTCCGCCTTTTTTGGACGGTTTCATGTCCACCATCTGTTATTGAATTGTCATGGTGATCTGGGACGAGGCTCACGTTCAAAGTCGCTGGTCCACCGAGCGCTCCGTGTGCGAAAGGAGAATGAAAGAAATACGAAAGGGACCAGTTTCAAGAAGTGACAGTTTCATCAGATTCCCTAACTAACCATACTCAAGTAAGAATATACAAGCTATATTGGGACTATATGGTTACTTGGGTACTCATATGGCCGTCAGAATGGTTCATCGGTTGCGAAGTGAAGTATTTCTGAAAGTGATGTGTAACATTTCTCAATGTTTTGATTTTATCCTAACGTTACCTCAATGTTATATCACAGACAAGCAGACACAACACATTGAACATTTATCATTGTAAACCCTACCGCCATCTGTCGTATATACTTTGATGGGCAATACACTCAACAGATGGTTGTAGTGTGTAAACGTCAAACGTTAGGGAATTGATTATGTGCACCACAAGTGGCAGTACTACCAACTAAGAAACATTTAAAGTGACCGTTAAAAACGATTTTGATGAACGTTTTAAGAGTGTTATGTGTGCTTGTCTGTGATCATACCTTCACTAACTTTGGGTAATCTGCGAAAGTACTTGCATTTTTCTCAGGCACTTTCGATCTAACTGCAATTACTCTCTTATACTCAAAATGTGCCACGACCAAATTGGCACAACGACGCCCTATATGCTCTCTGACCGAAGTGCATGGAGGCAATTAACATCTGTTTTCCACATAAAATTATTTTTATGATACAAAATCGTTCATTTTAACGAAATCTGATTTTAGATTCGGTTTCATCGACCTAAAATGCCCATAATCGCATAACAGTCCCATTTTTACTTGATTTTTAAATCCACATGGGACAGTTAAGAGATTATGGGCAGTAAAGTAAAAAAAGTAATTTTGACTAACGCAGCACCAGAATAAATGCTGATTCTGATAGGATTGTTAAGAACAGTTAATAGTACTATTTTAAACTACTCAATGAAATACTAATCAAATTATCTTATAAAAATATAATGAAAAATAATTGTTGAGAAACGCTGAAGTAATCACCTTCACCCCGTTTTACGGTAACTATGATGGGGAAAGTCTTCCTTATTTCATTATCTTATAGGATATATTTGTAATGCGAACTAACTTTGTTGCACTACCTAGCTGATTTAAAACTTACCGGAATCCGTAACATCTATCAATTTCTATGTGGATTTTCGGAAAATTCAAGTTGTCCAAAAAGAAAAAGCCAAAATATGACATCTAGTAGATTTTATTACTCAAATTAATGTACAATGCAGTACAACAGTTCCTGTTAATCCTAATACAAATGTAAATTTCGAACGATCTCTTTTCTTTACGACGACGACACGTTCGTGACACTCGGGGCCGGCATTACGTTGTTGATGCACTCTTCCTTGTTGATCAGGTGGCAGGTCTTGTTCACCAGATTCATCAGTTCGTTCAGTCCAAAGGCCCAATCGTTGAGGATCTCCGAAGCGGCCTTCTTGGACGAGAAGTGGATGATTCCGGCCGGACGGTCCGTCTTCACCGTCAACGTGCTGGCATTCACCATCCGGGAGAGATATTCCTCGCATTCGCCCTTGCTCAGATCCAGCAGTTCGGCCATGCGCTTCAGATTGATTCGGGTGTAGTAGTTGGAGATGATGCGCACGTTGTGCTCGATCAGGCGGTTTTTCAGCTCGGTCCAGCACTTTTTGCCGTGGGTGGTTTCCTGGTTGAAGATGTCCAATGTGTTCAGCTCGGCACCATATACGGTGCACAGGGCATCGAAGTTGATCAGCTCCTTGCACATGAACAGGCGCAGCAGTTCCCTGTGCGGGGTTGGAAAAGAAAAAGGCAAAAACGTAAGCTTTTGGTGAGGAAGTTCTAGGAATGTGGAAAGCTTCTATGATTTCGACATAAATTCCAGAGCATTCTGAATTTATTTACAATCTGTGAAAATCCCTCTGAATTTTGCTGTTGGAAGGAGATTCTTAAATTGCCGTGGATTTCGCCTTGAAGTTAAGTAAAAAGAATTAATCAGGAACTGTCAAGCATATGTTACAGGTCTTGTACAGTACCGCCCACTGACTCCCAGAGTCCATATTCAAGACACAACTTCAAACCGTTCCCAAATCAATGAGAGGCTCAAGGATCAGTTTCAAGAATGGCTACTTTTAAAGTTGATCTGGAGCTTTCGGAGCACCATACCATGAACCTGTATTCATATTACAAACCTGCATTGATTCTTATATTACAACTACAAGTGTTTTCCGTCAAATCTCGGAGCCCTCTTCTTCATAAATTGATCACTTTTACGGATGTTACAGAGAACTAGCTTGTGCTGAAATTCTGGACACTTTTGCAACATTGGATGCCCCACCGTAACTCAGAGAACTGAAGATCATTCCCGATAACCTCTGAGAACAGAAGATAAATCTGGACGCAACTGTAAGTTTAGGATTTCTAAGGAATTTTAGATCAACACAGATTCCAGACGTTAATTAAGGCCCCTTCAAAGATATAAAAACTTCAGGATCAGAGATCTGGGTTCTTTGTGAACCCTCGGAGCGTTTCGGAAGTATTGTAGTTTTAAATACTTCAAACTGTTTGAGTTCCGGCAGTTTAAGAAGTTGTGGGTTTGGTAGACATAGTTGAGTCTGAAATAATAATTGTAGAGGTTCTGGATCTATGTTGCAAGAATCTCGGGAGATTTGACATAAAAGTGCCACATTAGATTAGATTCATTGATAGTTATTAGAACCAGGGTTGCTTCCACTCACTTGCTATAAAAAATGTTTTTCGGAATTATGAAGTGAGTGAACGCTCACGAATCATAATATCGCTTATTGTGACGCTCTGAGAGCGAAGTTAACAGGTTTTATGTGTCAAACACATACTTTACAACTATGCCTTGCAACTTAATACAAAATTCAAAATGTCATTATAACATCTAATGGCAAGTGAGTGGAAGCTACCTGGTTAGAACAATTAAATAAAAAAACTACCAGAACAAACCAAATCAAATCCAAGATTATGTAATTTTAAAAGTTACAGAAAATTTCCTTTACGGAAAACATTAACTGTGGATTTAGGAAACATATTTATGTACCTATATCATCATAAAGGAGAAAAAAATATCGTAAAAAACGTAGATCCGGAAAATTGAAAAATTGTGTAGGAATCTTGGAAGTCATTTTTGAATTTCTAAAACGTTAAGCCGTCACTTAGATCTTAGAAATTTCCGAATTCTAAGTTTAACTGCAACCCCTCTTTGCCTCATTCTGAAAACCCTGTAAAATGTTCCATTATTCCTACTCACTTGTACACGGGCAATTCCTCCAGTAACTTATTCTTGGACAGATTGTGCATCATATCAACCTGCTCGTTGTCGTACGGGGACAAAATGCAGTACAGCACCGCGTAGACCATCATCTTCTGGCGCTTTTCGGCGTCCTGCACGATCAGCTCCGAATCCACCACAGCCAGATAATGCCGCGAGGTCTTGATGAAGGACGAATCCTGATCCAAGCGAATCTAAAAAAAAAATGTCAGTTCATGTTAAGACAATTTTCCCCAAACAAATCAAATATTCGCCCCGTCCTACCATCAAATCGTAATACTTCAGCTTCAGATCCTGCTGTGCGGCATCGTTGAAAAATTTGATACTAATCTTCTTGGCAATAATCTGTGTGCGGACAAAGTCCTGCTTCGCCAGGCACAGCCTCATCTGTTCGAGAATCAGTTCGACTTTCTCCCGCTTGTCCATCGAACCGTACGTCTCAACCTGCAGTTCCTCCATGATGGAAGCCGCTCCCGTCACATCGCCATCGGCTTCCTTGATATCGGCCAACATTTTCGTAAGCCGGGCCCGCTCCACTTCGACGTAGATTTTACCCTCCGTCACCGTGCGCAGCGTATCGATCAGCTTCAGCTTGGTCTCCTTATCCGGAGTCTTATCCACATACGTACAGCACTCCTGGACCATCTTGGCCACCGCTTGTTTCGACTGCGATCGCCTCTTGACCAATATCGTGATATATTCATTCAAGTAGTTCCAGTTGCCAGCTTCGAAGCAAATCTGCACGATGGCAATCAGTACCCGTGAGCTGGAAACCATATCGGCACCGATTCGGGTTTGCTTCTCCAGCTGTAGCAGGATTTCCAGAGCTTCATTGAATTTGTTCTCGTTCTTGGCCATCTCCTTGCACAGGGGGATCTTTTCGTCACAAGTGGCAGTGTAGTCCACCTCCATCTTCACGATGCGGCCCTCGAAGGCATTGATGTCCATGTTTTGGTCCATGACGGTCTGGATACAACGGGTTCACAACACAATGACGAAGGAAAATTGAACGAGAAGATTAGCACCATACAAAAAGCGAAATTCCAATGAAAATTAATGGTTCGAAACGAAATTTTATTACTTACAGGAAGCGGATTGGTTTGCAGTTCTATTAGACGACTTTTAATCACTAAATTACTCTAAATCTAGCGATATTTTACTGATACAAACTTTTGTCCACAGAGGCGGTTTTGATGAACATGAGCAAGCGAAAACCGAAACGAAGGCAGATTGACAAGCGAGAGTGACGTTTCTCTCTTTCGGTCGGCGAAAATGTATTCCACTTTGTAATGTTGGCAATGTTAGCGCATGCACTCGGGAACGCAGCCAGAATCTGGTATAAGTACACGAACGTTTAATTCACTCAGAGAGAGTAGTTTATACTCAGGCTAAGGGAGACAAACTAACAAATGAATAACGGCCGGCGCTCAATGCATATGTTTCCAGGTTTTTTTTTGACAGATAATGCATGGGCTAACTGTCAAAAAACCTGAAAACTTATTCATTGTGCGCCAGCCTTTATCATCGATCAGATTCCGGTTCGTGTTGTCCATTTGTCCACTTGTATAAAACGCTCAACTGAGTTTAGGAAGAGTTTTAGCAACCTTAGAGCACAGACAAACAGACATAACACTCACAATCACATTCATCGCAAATAATCTTTTAGTTGGGAATGTGCTTGAATTTGTCATGGTGGCGCCACTGAAGCATTGATCAAGGCACCACATTTCGAACTTATCAGGTATGCCAGTTCTTTTTCACGTCTAGTTAGTTTTAGCTTTAATTGTTTATGTTTTGTGTCTGCTGTTTTCGATTTTTTTTTTGCCAGTGCCATTTTTTTTTACAGGTATGCCAGTTCTTTTTCACGTCTAGTTAGTAGATGTCAGCTCTTGAAAATGAGACACATACCACATCTGACGAATACAGAAAACACAGTTGTTGAATATTACATCAAAACTGCTGCGCATTAGTCATTCCGTTCCTATTGTACGATGTACACAGAATTCGAGAACAAATCATGTTGATGACTGTAATTCTATCAATTTTTACCAGTTATTGATGTTCAATACTTCACCATGAATATCATTAATTGATACATATTATTTTTTCTAGAAAGGGTACTGATTAGTGATGCATTACCTCATTTAAAAACTTGTGTCCAGCAAAAGAAAAAGCACAATAAACAAACAAAACAAATCCTTAAAAAAAGTCTTAGCTTCTGAGAATTTTTTCTACGGATCCGTATTTCTGCAGAATTCAATCAAATCTATCGATCTTTGGAGAATTTCGTAAAACCGACATCACTTTTCCTTTGGTATGTTTTTTCCGTCGATCTTGTTTTCCGTGCTGAGCACCAATGCTACCGACGTGCCAGGAAGGCAGCTCCCACACCTGGACCCTACCTATCGACCCATCAACTCATGAACCGGGGACCAACGGCTTTACTTCCCATTCGAAGGAAGGCGTGATCAGAGATGTTATGCCTCAGAACATCCCCGCGGCGCCGACTGGGATTGAACCCAGGCCTGCTGGGTGAGAGGTAATCACGCTTACCACTACACCACCGGCACCGTTAACATCACTGACTTCTATCTGTTTTGTTTTTATTCAACACAGCTGACGCGTTGACAGAACGAGGGAAAAGCAACTAGTGAAAAAATTGCATGCACGAGGGATGCTCCGGTTGCAAAACATTGTTATGGAATGTGGATGATAGATGGTGCTAGCATAGAGGTAACTCTAAGACCAGAAAGTCCCGAAGAAACGTGCTCAACTTTTTGGCTCAGCTCTGGTACTATCTTCGGTCCCAAGCTAATCGATTCACCCCTCGAAACATAGGAAAATTCACTAACCCCTCATTTTATCTGTCAAACTTTCATAGCGAATCAAAACAAACATAGTGTAGTACTGGAATTTATACCAGAATGGGGTACGTTAATCGATTTGCTTGGAACCAATAGGATAGTCAAGTAGTGAACCAATTTAAAATTGTTAGTTTCGTATTGATTGTTGGTGCTAGTGCGCATGCAAAATACGATTGACGGTATTTTTTGAAAAGATTTCTTCTAAGAGTTATGTCTGTTTGTCTGTGCTTAGAGTTTTAGTTACCTCTATGGTTTTAGTGAACTGGGAGAATTCAAACCAAATTTTAGAAGGATCCACACTTAGAAAAAAAATTAAACTAGGGGAAATGGATATAATGTCGGCCTAAATGCCCCTAATTTGGACATATACATAAATTCAGCAATGGACTAAATTTTCAATAGCAACCAAAAATATCCATTATTACCGTCCCAATGACGCGTTCATCTAGATAAAATTCGAGGGGCGATCAACTTCATAAATCAGCTAAATTGTTGATCCCAGACTTTTCGGAAGGAAAAGTAAAGCCGTTGGTCCCAGCAAATGTGTGTTGAATGGGTGCAATATCCCTCGCAATATCCTACGCAGCTGCCTTCCTGCACATTCGATTGCCGTCAATGGATGGCAATCGATGTCCGTCGGTGATTGGCACTAGATTGTGGAACAGATACCACGTTAAATAAAGGTAATAAGTAGAAGAAGAAGACCCAAGGCTTCGTTTAAATGCTAACAAAACGAGCCTAGTATAAACTTGAAGTATAAGGGGTATAGTATATCCATAGAGGTTACTCTAAGACCAGAACGTCCTGAAGAAACGTGTTCAACTTTTTGGCTCAGCTCTGGTACTCTCTTCGGTCCCAAGCTAATCGATGCACCCCTGGAAACATTTGAAAACCCATGAACCCCTGGTTTTATCTGTCAAACTTTCATAGCGAATCAAAACAAACATAGTGTAGTACTAGAATGTCGCCTAGAATGGGGTACGTTAATCGATATACGTGGGACCGATAGGCTAGTGAAGTGTGAGCTAATTTAAAATCTATTACCTCTATGATAGAGCCCCGTTAGTGTGCCTGCGTTAAATGTCACTAATCTATATATGGGTATTTCCGGAACGGGGACAACGTGAGGTCGAAAAACGATATTGAACGTTATTTTGAAATACAATATGGCTATTTCCGGAATTGGAACGACGTATAAAGATCGAAAATCGATGCTACTTAGGTGCCATTTTCAAATTCAAAGTAAGTCAAATTCCTTACAATATGGGTATTTGTGAAACAAGAATAACTTGTAAAGGTCGAAAATCGATACGCCATTTTGTAATCCAAGAAATACTGTCAAATACCGAAGACAACATATCAAGAAGACTGGCAACTCTATCATTTTCTCATACGACATCTATGAGACCGGCACAATCGCGTCATCTACCGCGAAAAGGTAAATGCTTCGAACGAATTGGATAGCAAAGATTACAACCTCAGAAGAATGGTTTGTATATTTGCTCATTTCTCTATGCGTTACTTCCACCGAGCGTAGCGCTACTGTATCTGTCGCTTAGATTCTGGCACAGTTGCCACCCTAATAAAAATTGTATGGTTAATTTGCTTAACGACGTGTTCTGGGTATCATCCAAACCATTTGTGGAATAGTTCAATGATTTGGGTTATCGTTCGTTTATGGTTATTTTTTATTAGGGCAGTCTTTTTTATTTGATGTCTTCGCAAATACCCTACAATATGGGTATTTTCTGAACGGGGACGACGAGTAGAGGATGCAAATTGATGTTGATGCCATTTTGATAATACTTGAGGTGATCGATTTTAAATTGGCTCACTACTTGACTAGCCTATTGGTCCCAAGCAAATCGATTAACGTACCCCATTCTAGTCGAAATTCTAGTACTACACAATGTTTGTTTTGATTTGCTATGAAAGTTTGACAGATAAAATGAGGGGTTCGTGGATTTTCCTATGTTTCGAGGGGTGCATCGATTAGCTTGGGACCGCAGATAGTACCAGAGCTGAGCCAAAAAGTTGAAAACGTTTCTTCGGGACCTACTAGCATAGAGGTAACTCTAAGACCACTGGGTCCCGAAGAAAATCATTATTATTTTTGGCTCACTCAGTACCAGAACAACGGTTCCAAGCAGTCCCAAGCTATTTCACTCACCCCTGCATGTTCTGCATGAATCCACACACCCCTGATGTTATCTGTCAAACTTTCATAGCGAATCAAAACAAACATAGTGTAGGAATAGAATTTCAACTAGAATAGGGTACGTTAATCGTTTGCTTGGGACCAATAGGCTACTAAAGTGGTGAGCCAATTTAAAATCGTTAGTTTCGTATTGATTGTTGCTACTAGTCTCTCTATGGTGGAGGCGAGTATGCGAACAAGGAGTTAAATAATTTCTTCACACATGAGGGAATTAATGCACAGTACCCCACAACCTACACACCGAAATAAGTCCTTTAGCTGGTGGATTTTGGACACCTGAAAACTTTTTCAATAATTTCGCATGTGTTTGGTTATTTAAAAAAAAAATAGGATCGAAAGAGTTTTTAAAGATTACCGCGAGTGAACACAACGGGTTTTTTCTTCCTTCACCGCCGCCGTGAAACGTTGCGAAAAAGCAGATCTCCGCTGAATTTTCTAATTTACGCTGTTGAATCGTGTCCGTTTGGGTTTAGTTACAAGTGCATAACGATCCGGAAGCCGGAAGTTACAAAATAAGTCCAGGAGGAAACGGTGATATCCAGTGGAAGTAGGTTAAAATCGAACGTGCAAATTTTCTCCTGCAAAGTGCTGCTGCCTGCAAGCCAAAATGGGCACGTATCTATCGGAACTACTCACAACGAAGGATTCGAGCGAGGAGGCAATTGATTTGTTTGCTTGCGGTTCCAGCTTTATGCAAGGCTGGCGGATCAGCCAGGAGTAGTAGTTTCTAGTTAAAGAAATGATCTCCATCACATCACTAAACATAACCACGGGCAATGACGAGGAACTGCATCCCAAACGGATGCATCCAACGAAACTTTTAAGCGCAAAAGAATCATTACCAACATAGGAGAAAATTCTGTAAGATGCTTCCATTGCATTATTTTATGATTCTTCAATATTGTCCAAATATTTACACATTACACACAACTACACATAGTAACTCGAAGCGTTTGGTACGGTGTGTCCACACATCCTTCCACCCCTGTAGATTCAAGAAATGTTCCCATTGATTTCCAAGACTCATCTTTGCGGCAAATATAACGCAGTAGGCCTGGCCGTATTGATGTTTATATCATATCTCAGATATGCTGTAAACATCAATTA